ATCTGTAGACACATAAATCATCTCAGAAGTTTCTTGAAACAAAATTGTTTGCAAATAGCCGATAAGGAAGAAATATGACAAAGCAGAACACAGTTAGTAAAGATGAATGGGTGTTTCTCTTTTCTGAGTTGTGGTTCAGGGAGTTGTACTAAAAACATTTCAAATCATTTATTTCTTTTTGAATCAGAATTTACTATATGGTCCAGGCTGATATTAATTAACAATCTTCCTAACTCAACTTCCTAATTTCTGCAAGTAGAGACACATCCCACTATTCCTGAAAAAATCTTCAAATGTGTGGACTTTATTGTATATCAGTTATTTCTCATTTGATCTATGAGAATGACAGTAGGGAGGAAGTGCAGGAATCAGGAAGAGAAGGAGATGAGAACGAAATTTGGAGGAAAAAGACAATATATAGATAGATAAGTACTAGATAGTTAAAATACATAGATACACAATGTATAGATGTTTGACAGATGCTAAGTGGCATGCAGATGTTTGATAGCAGATGTAGATATAATAGACAATACATTACTATTAATACATGGCAGATAGTAAAAATGATAGAATCATAGATAACTGCAAGATGATTGATAATTCAGACACAACTGGTAACATAAGCAGAAAATAGATTACTGATGGATGACAGGCGATTCTATATGTGACTGAAAGGTAAGTGTTTAATGAATATTAACTAATTCAGAAAGAACTATAAGAGATATATGGGTAGAGTAATAATTGAAATAAAAAATAGAAGAAGGGGTTTTAAGGGAGAAACATGAACAGAAAAAGGAAGAAGATAGATAGACACATCCGGCCTTTGGCTTTGACCATGTTTTCATTCCTGATGTCTCCCCTACCTGGGTGGCTGGCTAATTCATTCTTATGGCTTCTCCTGACTCTCACAGGTAACTGTTTGCAGGAGAAAAAAAGAGGGAGACTACCAAGTTCAACGTCGTCGCCTTGCTTATTATTTGTCTCACCTGGACCTGAGGAAGCTCCAGTGACTCTACCTGCCAGTGATGCCTCTTTCCTAATAGGATTCAAAGAATAAATAAACAACATTGGTCAGACTCAGCATCTGTGACTTTCTTGACATGATCCCTGAGGATGACCGTGGGGACGAAGTGAGAAAAGTCCCTCCTTTGTTAAGCTCTAAAGGAGACTGTTCATTATGGTCTGTAGCCTCATAGTGTATCATTCTTCAGAGACAGCAGAATGGCTGAAACTGGTTGTATTAGTTACTTTTCTTGCTGCTAAAGCAAAATATCTTACCATAGCTACTTAAACAAATGTTTAGTTTGACTTATAGTTCCAGGGGGACATAGTCTTTTTATGGTAGGGAAAGGGTGGTGGCCAGAGCAGGAACCAACTTGGTCATATTACACAGGTAGGAAACAGAACAGGAAGTGGGGGCAGGCTATAATGCCTCAAATCTCATCAGCCTAAGAACCTCCTCTTCCAGCAAGGCTCCATTTCCTAAAATTTCCACAACCATCTCAAGCTGTATCAACAGCTAGAGAGACCAACTGATTAACTACGTGAGACTATAGGGAGCAAACTTCATTCCAACCATAACATCAGTGTAGATGTTGTTATGATGTAAAATGAACACATCCCTTCAATATGCTGTGTCTGGTGTGTTCTCTCTTAGTCACTCACTATATGCTTTCCCTTCACTTCAGTGTCAACTGTCACACTAATATGTGCTTCTCCAACTCCTCTACCCTATGAAGCCCTATCCATTGCAGGTTCCTCTTAATTGTATATTCTCTGAGCCTATCTTCTGAAGGGCTTCAACACAAATCCTCTTGGGTTATTACCCTCTTTCCCTTGTGGATAATCCAAGATGAGACGTAAATGAAGAAATGAATGAGTAGGTCAGAAATGAGTTCACAATCAGATTCAGAACTTGGGACCTGAATGCTTTATGGAAGTCTGAGTCCCTGAGTATTGTCACAGTTTTCTAAAGATTATATCTGGTTTGAATGGGGAAATCAATAAAATATTGGGGAATAAAATGATGGAGAAAGGCCAGTGATTTAATTTGTTTTTCATCTTCTTGCTCTCTGAACATAAGTAAATAGTGTAGACTAGTTTCACAGATGTCCTGCTTTAGATTTAACAGAATCTGTTGATGATATCTACACATTTTTAAAATGTAAAACAAAATGTATATATTTGTGTATGTGTCTGTTTATCTATGTCTTATGTCACTTCTATGCAGGCGCCTGCAGAGGCCTAAAGAGCATGTCAGGTGTTGCAGAAGTGATTGTTGTGTTAGGAGCCACTAGATGTGAATGTTGGAGATTGAATCTGAGTCATCAGGAAGAGTCCTTTGTACTCTTAAGCTGACCTCTCCACATTTTAAAAATCTTAAGTGATTATAACCAACATCAAATAATCAAACTGACAGTAATACCAGCAGTGTAAACTTCCTTTGGTATAAGTTTTGCACCTTAGTCTATTTAAGCAGTTTTTCTTTGAGAGTAAACTCATTGGAATGAAAAAGAATCAGTAATGAAAATGTATATCTAAATTACTTTTACAATATATACTAACGACAACTCCATATGGATACCAAATTGTAAATACAGTAGACAGAAAAGGAAGTGTTAAAATACTTCGTTTCTAGAACAGCTGTAAATAGCTTATTCTATTACTTTTTTAAAAAGCATCAAATGATACAGGGTGTTGCCAAGACTATAAGTTGCTCTCCACAAGAGTAAGAACTTGTAGATGTTTGTGTGTGTGTGTGTGTGTGTGTGTGAGAGAGAGAGAGAGAGAGAGAGAGAGAGAGAGAGAGAGAGAGAGAAGAACATAGAGGCAGATGTTCACGTGTCTCCGCCAGTCAAAGATAGTTGGTATATCTAGTTTGGGTTTTGGGTTATACTTCGGATTGTATGGGCATCTTGTTATTGAGCATTACCAAACTTATAAAGTCTTTGATTACCATTTATTTTTTTAAAAAGTTACTAATAAAAAAAGGATGAGGAGGGAGGGTGATGAAATACATGTGACAGGAAATCAGATGAGGAAACTAGCTGGAGGAAGAAAGGGAAGGGGCAGAGGGAAACAAATCAGAACTCTAATGACACATGTATGAGGATGCTGTAATAAAACCCAGTTCTTTGTATGTTAACTTAAAATACTAATAAAGAAAAAAAGCAAGGAGGAGGAGGAGGGATAGGCTAGGGGGGTTCTGGTGGAGGGATGGGGAAAGGGGATGACCTCTGAAATGTAAATAAATAAAATATCCAATTTAAAAAAAAGTTGCTCTCCACAAAATGTTAGCAAGGACCCACTGGTGAAGAAAATACCTACACAATTCATTGAATATGGAAATTTTGAACCAGTGCCTCTATACAGCCTTTACCCCTAGTTGCTAGTGTCTTCAATATAGGAAGACACTCTGCATGCTAACAAAGAAGAAACACCATTGTATATAATGGGAATTGACTCTGGGACACTCCAGCACTGTCTTGCAGTTTCCTGACTGCAGATACAATGTAAGCAGAGGCTTCTCCCTTCTGCTAAGCCTTCTGTTCCCTTAAATTATGAAGCAAAATAAACTTTCTTTCTTCAAGTTGCTTTTTTCATGTATTTTATTAGTGATTAGAAGAGTAACACATGGGGGAAATTGTGGATGGGGAGGTGAGAGTGGGAGGGTGGGTGGGGGCATATCCTCATAAAAGCAAGAGGAGGGGGATGCAATAGGGGGTTCCTGGGGGGGGGGGAAGGGGGATTACTTCTGAAATGTAAATAAAATATCCAATTTAAAAAAAGAAAAGTAACACATGATAGCTGTTAATTTGTTTAAAAAATCATCTTACTATGCATGCATATAAAAACAGTGTTCATATAGCTTTACACAAATTAACTGCAGTCCTCACCTACATTAAGGAAACTTTTATTTGCAAAGACAGATACCATTGACAAAAACTATAACCAATCAAAACACAGAATTGTGGAGTCCAGTCCCAATGGATACACATACAGTGCAATTCCTGCACCTAAAGTGATAATTGCTGAAGATGGGACAAAAAGCATGTAAAGGCAAAAAGACCAGGGAAGTTGCTGTGAGAGATGCCTCCTAGGAATATCAGAAGCCACAATAACTTCTAAAACATTGTAAATGAAATACGAGGATGTTAAATAACTACTAAATGATGGTTTGAAAGTTAAGAGCATGTGTTACTCTTTGAGAGGGCATGGGTTTTGTTCCATGTGACAGCTCACAATTTTCTATAACTCCAGTTCCAGGAGATCCAATATCCTCTTTGGGCTTCCATAGGCCCAAACTCCACATACTATTAGTAGGCATACATGCAGATAAAATGCTCATATATATAAGCATTTTAAAAAATAAAATAGTAAATGAATATAGGAATATAAAGAGCAAAACAAAATCTTTCTCACATCAAACTCAATTTCTCATCTTAAAAATAAATTATTGGGGCTGGAGAGATGGTTCAATACTTAAAGCACTTACTACTCTTACAGAAGGTCCAAGTTTGGTTCCCAACACCAATGAATGGCTCACAACTGCCTCACTACAGCTCCAGGAAATACAATGCCCTCTTCTGGCCACTGTATGCACCTACTCTCATGTACTCTTAGCAAGAGACAGACAGACACATATACATAATTTAAAATCATTTCTTATGTTCATGATTCTATGTATATCTATGTACTGTGTGTGTACCTGGTGTCTATGGAGACTAGAACGGGGCATTGGATCCCCAGGTGACTGAAATTACAGACAGTTGTAAACCACTTTGTAGACACTGGGAACTGAACTTGGGTCCTCTGATGAACAGAGGCGTGTTAATCACAGAGGCATCTCTCAAACTCCTAAAATAATTTAAAAAGTAATAAAATAAAACCTACTGGGCTGGGTGATGTAGCACTATGAGTAGGAAGTTGGGTTCAATCTTCAGCATAAAGAAAGAAAGGTGGGCGGAGTAAAAGGAAAAAAGGTAGTAAATTATCATTTGTAATTTTTGTACTGCACAAAGACTTTTTAATAAAGTATTGTTAAGTTTAACATTTCAAGGTCTCAAAACAAAAGACACTGCATGGAGGTGTTAAACAAGCCCATGCCCCACTTCATCTGCAGTGTCTTCTCCCCAGCCTCACCCCCATAATGTTTATAAGTTTGTCTTCCTTGAATCCCTCATTTTCTCCACTTCATTTGCTAGCTTGTGTGAAATCAATGCCACTGCCAGTCTTTCTCTTGCTATTTGCACTTTCCTTTCCTGGTTGATAATATCCTCTTCAGTGACCAGAAATTCTTTGCAAACAATCTGTGGGCCTGCTTCTGGAATCATCTTTGTCAAATGTGAAGATGACTCAAGAGTGGACATGAGCCTGGGGTCAATGTTGTTGGCTTTTGTGGCCGAAGTAGAGGCATCTGTGTCTTTAGGTGTAAGGTCTTGCAAAGCCTTGGCAAGGTCTGAAGTATTTAAAAGTTCTCCTGTACTGCTGTAGGCCTGGAGTCCTTGAAGTCTCTTCTGCCAGCAGGCTTGTTCTGGCTTCTCCAAGGTCTCCTCCCACTGATAGTATCTTACCTCATTGCCCAGATGGGATGTGATTTTAGTGACTGGCCTCTTGAATGTATAACTAGACATCCTCAAGGGGATTGAGGTACTTAAACAAGGCTTTGATGGGTTCTCATAGTCACATTGCTTCCTCTGTGAAGTCTTGCCCATCTGACTCTGTTCTTAGCCCTATAAGCATAAGTCAAAAAGTTGGATCAATGTGATGAAAGGCTGTTTTATTTTATTATTCATGTTATACCTATCAATTAATAATGCTGCTCATAATATCCACCTTCCTCCTCTCCCTCTAGTGATACATTTGACCTGTATTCAGAAACATCAAACAGATCTAAGTTGAGCACAGAAAGCTCAATCAAAGCTCTCCCACAACTTGGCAAAACTCCCTTTGCTGGAGTGTATTTTTAGTTTTTCTGGATCTACTGACAACTGCTTGAGTCCTTACATTTCCTGTCATAACACAGTCCCCAATTTTCCTCTAAGTCGCTAATATTTTCATTCTTCTGTGTTATTTGACTATGAATTTGTTATGAACCACTTGATTTTTATAGCTCTTTTAACACTTAAGTCGATACCGAAATTAGACTGTAAGAGCCAGAGGTTGGGAAAGAGTGTTACAGATATTGTTTCGTGGACACGATAGGGCCATTGCAATTGAACTCACAGTAGCTCTAATTACAAAATCTGTACTAGATCAGGCCAGCCAACAGTACAGCACAGATGTAGAAGGTGCTCATGGCAGCTGATGGCTGTTGAGGGAAGAACAGTGAGTTTTCTTCAGGGATGTGGCCCCTGGTAGGTTACTCCAGTCGATGGCCCTGTACTCATGCACGTACTGTAAGCACTGATAAATTTCAGTGGGTTAAAAAAGTACAGAGAGTTAAGAAGAAGAAGTGATGAAAGTATTTGGGTTAAACTAGGGGGTAGAATAGAATAATGATATGATCAATACATTTCATACATGTATGAAACTTTCCAAGAATAAGTATTTATTTTAAAAAAAATCAATAGTAAAACTACCAACAATATCACTCTTGAAGAATCACTATAAAACCTAAGATGTATTTATCAACCCAAATGGTCATGTTAAAAATAAGTAATTTAGAAAGTCTAGTCACACGGCAACAGAAAAGGAAGGAAGGAAGGAAGGGAGGGAGGGAGGGAGGGAGGGAGGGAGGAAGGAAGGAAGGAAGGAAGGAAGGAAGGAAGGAAGGAAGGAAGGAAAAGAAATGTGTTCATCCACTACCATACTTTAGGGAAGGAAGGAAGAAAAGAAGGAAGGAAGAAAGGAAGGAAGGAAGGG